CTGAGTGTAAAGACATACCTTCCAAACTGAGTCATGATTCCTGGAGGGAAATATGCAGTGTAACATCCACCCGAGTACTGTTCTTTACACCAGTCCTTTTCTTCATAATGCACAGGCTTTTAAAGGGAATAAAACCATATAATACATTTCATTGCATTAAACTGTGATACACGTTCAACAAACTAAGCATGCTGTATAAATGACAAAATTACCATATTTCAGAAAAATTGGAAACCCTGGTCCAACTGGTTTAAAACCATAACTTAAAAGGAAAAAAAAAGGGGCGCATGCGTGGCTGGCTTCGGGGATGGACGTTCAGTGAAGAGAGCTCCGTCCACCCGCCAGCACGATCGCGGCACACTACGACACCAGGGAGTAATTAACTGCTCAATAGAGCCATTAACCCCTCGCCATCTGGAAGGGCTATGACCCGCAGGAGAAAAGCACCGGGCCACCCCACAAAGATGACAAGCTTTTATCCTGCACTCGCACCCTGCAGCCAAGATGGCGCCGGCCCCCTGCTGACAGGCTTGTCTGCCCAGCAGCAAGGAGAGGACACAGACCACCAGGCTGCATACCATCCAGACCCCAGGCTGAAGGGACAGCTCTCCCCTTGAGACCCCGTCAAGTCCTCTCCCCACCTGTCTCCCACAACTAGCAGCAAAATCCAGACCCAGGCTGGACACAGGATCACACCTGACAGCCTTCTACCTTCTCTCCCAACCAGTGCACTATCTGCTTCTGCTCCATCTTTGATTGATTCCTATCCTGCTTCTGACCAACCTATCACGGAGATTTCCATGAAGAACATGCTCCTTTACCTGCGACAGACGCTACATATTGACCTGACTGCCACATTATCCCAAATTTCTAATACGGTCCAAAACCAAGATAAACATATCCGCCATATCGAAAACAAACTGGGAGAAGTGTGTACCACACATAACAATCTTATAGATGCACACACATCATACAACAGACATCGAACAAATCAAGCTCAAACTGGCAGACTTAGAAGATCGCTCCCGGCGGAAGAACATTAAATTCAGTGGGATCCCAGAAACCGTCACCACAGATGCCACTGTACCTTTCATACAACAATACATGAAAAATCTCATTCCCACCCTCACTGACGTGGAATTGGCCATAGATCGAGCACATCGAATCCCCAAACCATCATTTTTACCTGCGATGATTCCCAGAGATATACTGGCGCGCATACACTTTTACCACGTAAAGGAGAAAATAATGATTGCAGCCAGACATCCGACCTCCATTAATCCAGCCCAAGCAAACATTAAATTGTTCGCAGACCTCTCTAAAGCAACGCTAACCAATCGTAAGAAGCTCATCAGCATAACCAAAGCACTACGAAACCACAAAATCGCATATCAATGGGGCTTTCCTACGAAACTGAATGTCAAATACCAAGGCAGATTTTTCACAATCAACTCCCTAGAAGGGGGCATCGAATTACTGAAAACATGGAGCATTATACCAGCAGATTCCCATCAATCAACATCCAACCAACTGCAACAAATGGAAACAGGAAGATCATAGCCTTCAATCAAGCATATTACCTCCACGTTCAATTCCCTGGACACAACTCTCTAAAACACTAGCTGGCAATCGGCCCCCGATCGATCGAACATAATGATCGCCCAAGTCCGTTTCAAGCATGAGCTCTCGGAAGACTCATGCTTTCTCACGCCCCCACTTTACAAAGTAGCAGACACTGCTACGCATGTTACTTGCATTGTTTGCAAGGCTTTTTTACCCCTGTTATTACCCTGGTTCTTACCCCAAGGTACCAGTCATCGCTCGCTAAAATTGCCCTTCTTAATCACCAACAAAGTTCATCAAATATACACGAATACCTCTAATGATATTGCTAAAACAAGACCAACACCTCATCCATCCAAGGACGGAATTACAACAAAATGATCAATCATATTTTGTCTATTGTAATATTGTATGACTGAACCACTTATCTTTTCCCTGTTTACCCTTGAAAAACTCAATAAAAAAATAATTGAAATATAGAAAAAAAAAAAAAAAAAAGCTATATTCAATATTTCTGCAAGACTCTATTCTTTTTGCTTCAATTGATTAACCCTGTTAACTTTCACGACTATTAGGAATTACCTAATTATCTTTGTTTGATAAATTTTATTGTAACACCTTTATTAAGACATTATAATATTTTAATTCTGTTCTATCTCAAGGTATTTCTTTTTCTGTTTTTCTCTGAAAAACCAAATAAAAACTTGAATGTGAAAATAAATAAATAAAAACTAAGCATGCTGGTGTGACTAATGGTTTTGTCCTCATAGAAAAGTTCTTTCTTTTGCATCCTGTCCTGTCTTAACCCCATCACTTGAACAGGACGTGGGGGAAAATTTTCCTCATGGGGCACAAACAGCTATAATATTCTGACAGATGTTCTAAACCTTACTCATTCTGCTACAAAATTTAGTTTAAGGATTTCACCTCACTTCCTTTTCTACCTGACACCTGTCAAATAGGTGGGATATGGATAAATTTTCCTTAATTTACTATTCCATCAAAGTGGACTGAACATAATAAGAACACTTCCAAATGGGGAAAGAGGCAGAAATAATAAGTTGCCAGGTGTTCTAATCATTCCAGATTGTATGAAATTAGAAAAAAAGGTTTATTATTAAAATATTACTTGTAAAAGTCTACAGGTGAAAAAAAAAAAATGGGGGGGGGGGCTGAATTTGGAAGGGTGTGTTGTCACTGCAGTTGTGGAAAGCACAGTAATACCCATTGGAACAACGGTAGCAAGTTCTGAGGCATTCACCAGTGCTGTGGCATCAAGACATCAAGATACACCTGTTGCAGGACTACTCTGGATGAGTTTTATGTTGGGTATGGCTGCAGTGGTTGGTGCTGGTCTACATTTAAATGTTTATTTTATTTATTTATTTCAGGTGCTTATATAGCGCCGTCAATTTATGCAGAGCTTTACATACAGTGGGGCAAAAAAGTATTTAGTCAGCCACCAATTGTGCAAGTTCTCCCACTTAAAAAGATGAGAGAGGCCTGTAATTGGCATCATAGGTACACCTCAACTATGAGAGACAAAAATGAGAAAACAAATCCAGACAATCACATTGGCTAATTTGGAAAGAATTTATTTGCAAATTATGGTGGAAAATAAGTATTTGGTCACGTACAAACAAGCAAGATTTCTGTCTCTCACAGACCTGTACCTTCTTCTTTAAGAGGCTCCTCTGTCCTGCACTCATTACCTGTATCAATGGTACCTGTTTGAACTTGTTATCAGTATAAAAGACACCTGTCCTGGATGGCAATCCAAGGGGGGTTGCCTCTCAGGACATTTATGCATGCCAGGAACCTGAGCAGATACAGACACTGCCCCTTCTGCATCATCCACGAGGAAACGTCTCACCACGTTTTCTGGGAGTGCTCATTTGCTCAGGCCCTGTTGGGGGCCCTGGAACCTGAACTCAAGGACTTTGTACCACAGACAGCCATCACTCACTTTGGGGTGTTGAATGGACTATTCTGTGGGACTTTTTCTCTGGAGGACATTGACGGCGCCTGGCGGGTGCTGTGTTGTTTAAAGGACGCTTTATGGTGCGCCAGAAAGCGCCTCATCCACCAGCGGGAGAGGATGTCCATTGAGGACTGCCGCAGACTGATCCTCAGTCTGCTCAGAGACTATAACTTGATGGACTTTAAGGAGGAAGAGGACGTCTGAAGATTCCCCCTTCCCCCTACTCCCCCTTGCGTGTCTTTGTCCCTTCAATAAAGCTTCGGGCCTGTGTCTCTCCCTTTTTTCCCCCTTCCCCCCCCCACACACACCGATGCCTATTGTAGAATGTAACGTTCGGTTTTCGTTTTTGCATGATTTTGTGACATTAGGAAAAGTATTGTGTATTAGGATTAGAGGTGAGCGAAGTATTCAAAAATTCGATTCGACTGATTCGGCGAATTCGTGGAAAAATTTTGATTCGAGTCGAATATATTCGCTGTGAATTTAACTTAAAAAAGGGTGTTTCTAGGCTTCAGAGAGACTTAATATTAGTGCAGAACACTGTACCTTTAATTTAAATGCCCTTGGAGTCTGCTGGGGAAGAGAAATAATACTGTCAGTCAGTATGACATGCAGATGAGTGCCGTCGATCTTAGAATCACCGCACATTTCACTTATTTGGGCAGTCACGGGGCCAAAACCAGAGTGTGGAGCCACAGTGTGGCGGTGGAGGCAGCAGCAATGGGAGGCCATACAGCACCCTATGACAAAAATGGAAACCACCAGCAGTGTGAGGAGACCTGAAAGTGGCACATGGCAGAGTGTGGCGATAGAGACAGCAGCAATGGGAGGCCGTACAGGGACCCATGACACACTCTGGACCTGGCAGCAGCATGAGGAGGCGGTACAGGGGCCCATGACAGATTACGGGCCTGGCAGCAGCATGAGGAGTCAGTACGGGGGCCCATGGCAGATTACGGGCCTGGCAGCAGCAATGGGAGGCCGTACAGGGACCCATGACACACTCTGGACCTGGCAGCAGCATGGGGAGGCGGTACAGGGGCCCATGACAGATTACGGGCCTGGCAGCAGCATGAGGAGTCGGTACGGGGGCCCATGACACACTCTGGACTTGGCAGCAGCATGAGGAGGCGGTACAGGGGCGCATGACAGATTACAAGCCTGGCAGCAGCAACTTGGACAGGAGGACGTTCAGCTTCTGCACCGTCGGGTGCGTGCTCGCAAAAACTGTTGTCTCTTGGAAACGGATTCCAAGAAAGACTGCTGACGGAATCCGTGAAGAGGAGTAGCAGGAGAAGGAGCATCTGAACGAGCGGAATATGCCAACAAGCGACAACAGGGGCCCATGACAGATTACGGGCCTGGCAGCAGCATGAGGAGTCGGTACGGGGGCCCATGGCAGATTACAGGCCTGGCAGCAGCTATGGGAGGCCCATAATCTGCCAGCACCCTATGACAAAAAATGGAACCCACCAGCAGTGTGAGGAGACCTGAAAGTGGCACATGGCAGAGTGTGGCGATGGAGACAGCAGCAATGGGAGGCCGTACAGGGACCCATGAGAGACTCTGGACCTGGCAGCAGCATGAGGAGGCGGTATAGGGGCCCATGGCAGATTAGGGGCCTGGCAGCAGCTATGGGAGGCCCGTAATCTGCCAGCACCCTATGACAAAAAATGGAACACACCAGCAGTGTGAGGAGACCTGAAAGTGGCACATGTTTGGGGCATGATTCATGGCGGATTTAGTCAGTTGTGTCAGGAACTGGTGGTTTGAAATCCAGACTAATCCACGCCTGATTCATTTTCACAAACGTGAGTCTCTCCACACTTTGGGTGGACAGTTGTGTCCTCCGCGGAGTTGCAATACCTCCTGCCGCACTAAAACACGCGCTCCGATGCCACGCTACTGGCCGGGCATGACAGCCTTTCAAGGGCAAATTCAGCTAGTTGGGGCCAAAGGTCAAGTTTCGTTGCCCAGTAGTCAAGGGGATTGTCTACCTCGGTTGGCAGGGTGCTGTCCAAGTAGGCCTAAGCCTGTTGTTTGAGGTCCTGCTCCAGGTCCACCTGATGCTGCTGCTGCTGCTGCTGCTGCGGCTGGTTAGTAGTTTCCTCACTGCGCTGGTGAAGAAAGCTACTCATCATCGACTGCAGACTGAGGCAGCCGCTGCTGGTGGAGCTGCCACTGCTCCTACCACCCCACCCCTCCCCTGCTGCCATGGCAGCGGAACACGAGCGCACAGGGCCCACAGTGTCTGAGGATGGACGTTGGCGCAGACAGGCAGAGACCAGCTGACTACATAGGTGGTTTTTATAGTACGTTATTTTGGCCTCCCTCTCAGCAGGTGTGAAAAAGGCCACCATTTTTGAACGGTAGCGAGGGTCCAACAAGGTGGACAGCCAAAAGTCATCCCTCTGTCTGATGGTTATTATTCGGCTGTCGCTACGCAAGCAAGCGAGCATGCTATGGGCCATTTGTGCCAAGGAATGCGAGGGACTCCCTGCCTCCATCTCCACAGCATACTGCACGGTGCGTCTGGGTCCTCTGTCTCCTCTTCCTCCCTCCTCTACCAGATGCTCCTGCTTGCCTCTCCTGCCCCCACAGGGGTCATGTGGCGTTGAGATCTGTTGCACCACGTTCTAACCGCACCCTCATACAGCATCCATTGTTTAACAGCATTTGTTCCAGGACGTGCAACAGAGGAATGACGTCGTATCATGAGCCCATAGCTCCTGTCGCCGACTTCACGAATAGCGTGGCCTCCTCAAAAGGTCACTCGACAGCACCAACAGCGCAGGATGTCACGACATGAGCTGCCAATGGCTGACATCTAAAGTTTACACAGGGAGTACCTTTAACCGCTTTTAACATCAGGAAATTCTGTGATGCGCCTTTTGTCATGTTCGTAAAAGGCGGTTCTATACATATGGTTAGAGTGTTGAATTTCCACCTCTGTGTGCAAACATCACAGCATTGAGGAGTCAGGTATATAGGGGCCCATGGCAGATTAGGGGCCTGGCAGCATCTATAGGAGGCCCTGTAATCTGGCCAGCACCCTATGACAAAAAATGGAAACACACCAGCAGTGTGTGAGGGAGACCTGAAAGTGGCACATTGGCAGAGATTGTGGCGATGGAGACAGCAAGCAATGGGAGGCAGTTACAGGGACCACATGAAGACTCTGGGACCTGGCAGCAGCATGAGCGAGGCAGTATATAGGGGCTCTATAGGCAGATCTAGTTTTAGGGGCCTGGCAGCAGCTATAGGGAGGCCCGTAAACACTGCCCAGCACCCTATGTCAAATAATTCAAACACACCCAGCAGTGTTGTGGGATAGACCTTAAAGTGGCACATGGCAATGGTGTGGCGATGGAGACAGCAAGCAAAGGAGGCCCGATACAGGGACCCATGACAGACTCTCTGGCACTTGGCAGCGGATCATGAGGATTCCGGGTGGTATATAGGCGGCCCCTATGGCAGTTAGGGGCCTGGCAGCAGCTATGAGGTGCCCGTAATCTGCCAGCACCCTATGTCAAAAAAATTCAACACACCAGCAGTGTGAGGAGACCTGAAAAGTGGCACATGTCAGAGTGGTTGCGATGGAGAACAGCAGCAATGGGAGGCCGTTACAGGGACCCATGACAGACTCTGGACTGGCATCATGCATGAGGAGAGGGGGTATATAGGGGCATCATGGCAGATTAGGGGCCTGGTCAGCATCTATCTGTCTAGGAGGGCCACGTAATCTTGCCAGCACCCTATGCAAAAAAAGTTCAACACACCAGCAGCGTGTAGTGAGGTTGGGTCCATCCGTGAACGTGGCACTTGGCAAGAGTGTGGCGTTGGAGACAGCAGCAATGGGAGGGCCGTACTACAGGGACCCATGGAACAGACTCTGGACTTGGCAGATTGCAGCAATGAGGAAGGCGGTACAAGATGGGTCCTATGGCAGATTAGGGGCCTGGCGAGCAGCTATAGGAGGCCCGTGTGAATCTGCCATCGGTGGGTTTTGTCAAAAAATTGAACACACCAGCAGTGACGTGTGGATTTTTTGACTTTGGTCACATGCCTTGATCCGTAGTGGAGTCTACTTTTTTTGAGACTGCAGCAATGGGAGGCCGATACCTAAGACAACCATGAGAGGACTTCTGGGACTTGGGCAGCAGCCATTGAGGAGGGGTATATAGGGGCCTATGGCAGATTTAGGGGCCTGGCACAGCTATAGGAGGC